CTAGCACTGCATAGTACATGCCTGAAGGTGTGGGAAATTTCTCTTTACCTTGTCTACTATAAAGTAAACTGGAAGTGGCTCATAATACTAGTGAAATAATACATAGCAAAATGCTGTAAACAAGGAAGATACTTATATGCCTATGGTGGGATTAAGTTGCAACATAATGTGGCAAAAATCTACTTAAAAGGTTGATGACCTCTAGTGCACAGCACAGAGCAATTAACAAGAGATTTATAATCATCTCATTACAGTGAAGAACTCATACAGAAGGATGACAAGTGTGAAGACAGGGAGGCTTCATGTAGTGACCTGCATTTCTTCAAGGATCTTGTGTAGCAAGCATCCTCCTCCTCTTTTCTCTAAGGCAGTGGTTCTCAACCTTCCCAATGCTGCGACCCTTTGATACAGTTCCTCATGTTGTGGTGACACCAAGCCATAAAATTACTTTCACGGCTACTTCATAACTTCAGTGAATATATGTTTTCTGATTGTCTTTGGCGACCCCAGTAAAAGGGGCCGAGACCACAGGCTGAGAACCGCTGCTCTAAGGCATGTCAATGCATTGTGAATCTAAGAAGCAGAGAAATTAGCTTGTTTCATGTCACTGGGTGGTGAACTCACACAGGACAAGGCAGATGTAGTAAAGGCCACTAGCAACATGTGAACACTGCAGATGCGTGAATAGCTCATTAAGGTTTACAACAATGGTGCAAAAGGGAGTAATCAGAGGTTCTAAGCCAAGACGGCAAGGTGAAGATAAAATAAGATCGCATCTAACAAGGCTGGTACTGGAACTCAATGCAGGCTTCTAGAGAAGAACCTGTCAACAATCTGGAGAAACATTACATTATCATGGTCCAGAAGCAATGCTGTGATGGGGAATGACCAGAACAAGTGGCCAAAACTAAAAGGGGTGAACATATAATCAGGCTGAAGATGAGGACAGAGTGCATGTGGGAACGTCTCAGATGCTGTGATGTCAGTTCCTTCACCACTGAGGTGTTCACTTGTGCATTAAAACCTTAGAGTCTGGGAGAGTGAACTAAGCAAATACGGATAAGTCTCTGATGCTAGCCGGATGACACCACCTGGACATTAAGCCTGGCCAAGCAAGCATGTTTACCCCATCCTGGAGTTCAACAGAGCAGAGGTAACCAGTTCCTATGGCAACAGTTAGTAGTGGTACTATGGGATTGCTTCTACATCAGAAGACTGAGAACACACCAGAATGCGGTGTGCAATGATGGCGACTGTGATAACATCAGATGGCCAGAGGTGTTTAAGTAGAAATAACAGCGGTGGGTCTTCAAGTGAACAATCATAAACAGTGATTTACTGTGCGTACATTTATCTTTTTGTGGTTGAATAAGCCAAAAATTTTCCTTATAAATAGTTACTTACTGATGCTCATTTACAAGCTGGCAGATATGACAATAATGACTTTTACCTAAACTGCTGTTGTTCCCAGGCTCTCAAAATAAGAACAAGGTCACTGACATATTCGTAACCCATTCTGAGAGCATATGACAGCTCTAAGCTATCTGACATCCTAATTCTGCTGGGCATCTAATTATCAAAAACAGTTATGCACACTACACATATACGGCACCAAATAAAGACCACTTGCATTTTAAGTCACAGTAAACAGCACATATTTGTGATGGCGTGCTACCTGATTGATCAGGCATGGCAACAGCATCAAAATGACCAACAAATCAAAGTAATATGCATCAACATCATTTAATAAATAACTGTTTCTTTTAGAAAAATCACTAATATAAGTGTGCCTATGTTCTCTTTAGGATTTTGTAGGTTCAAAATGAAGAGGAAAAAAAAGACCCATTAATATTAAATTTATATTTACAATTATCCTTTAGGATAAATAACAAAAATCAACGCAACGGAAAGATTTGTCAAACACGTGACACCCATGTGTCTGCACCCCTCATCAAGGAAAAGTTAATTATAACAAATACTTAGGCAGTTACTAATAATTTAAAAATTAACTGTTACCAAATATCTTGCATTACAAGAGATTGGCCATAAGTTTTCACCCTAAACTAAAGTAACAGGAGAAACTTGAAACTATGTACATTTAAATTTAAAGCTTCTCACATGTTCAACAAATGTGTGAAGTATGCAGTGGTTATTTCTACTCTAGTGCTTTCTACCAGAACTGCTGCTCAAATGATTTGTCAGAACAACAGAAGTCAGAGGATATAGCTGTGATAATGTTCTTGAACACAATATAAAAGAAAAACATGGTTAAGATATTTTATAGTTCAAACACTTTAAGTTTAGGGAGTAACAATATTATAGCAGGTAATTTTTTGACTTAAAATTTGCCCTCCTCCACAAGACTAAATCCAGTCCATTCCTGACCCAGTCCCATAAATGCAGATCGGCCTGTCTGCAGTGACCTTTTCTCAAACAGCGCAGTTAAATTCCATTGGTTCTGTGTGTGCCTGTGCAGTGTTTAACTGGCCAGATATAAATATAGTAACTAAAAAATAGCATTTAGAGGGGTTTCTTTATGTCCCCTGTGACTTTTCTAGAGCCAGGTTGATGTAAAATTTTCCTGTAAGCCTCACTGATAGAGGTCACGGGGTCATGATATGAGTCATCCAATACACAATTTTGTTAGACACCAGGAAACATATTTCATTTAGTGCTTCACTCTATTTTAAAAAATTTTTGATTACACTTTCTGTACATCTTTATATATTTGGAAAAAGAAAATTATAGTTAAAAATGTACATAAATAAATGTGTAAACAAAGAAAAAATTATTGACCTGTAAAAAAATGCCAGTATTCTGGTAGTAAAAACCCCAGCTCTAAACTTTTCAGTTAAAACACTTCACTGAAAAATGCATCCAGTAGTTTTGTGTTTATGTGTGTGTGAATGACAATGCCCATAGTCTAACAAACCAAATTATCACAATCTTGTGATTCACATCACACTTGAACCTCTATACTATGTCTAAATAATCTCAGCAACTGAACATAGGGTCTTGCCTTGCTAGGCCTGTCGATGTGGCTCCGTTACCCTGGACTACAGAGGAAGCTAAAGTTGAAGGGAAAAAGTTTAGGACCCTTTCCACGCCTTCAGGCATATAGGGCTAGACCTATATTTTAGAGACCATTCAGCATTTTATTGCTGATGTGGTCAGCATCACACTGATTGCCTTTACTTCCCAGGACTCAACCTGGTACCCATTCAAGGCTGGTCTGAACTGAGCACTTATGGACTGACTAATTTAAGTAAATAAACCTGAAATTGTCCGGGGGATTAAGGTCTGGGCCTTCATGGCTTCCATAGTAGCTGTGTGACTCACACAATGTGAATGTGGGTTATGGGGGCCTTATTACTGGTAGGCTGGCGGGATGGAAAGGGGGGGGGCAGATCTCCTGCCCCTCAACAAGCAACAAATTAAAGATTGACAGAAATCTGTTGTGTTGGGTCAAAGATACTGTAGCCTTACTGTAAACCACAACATAACGTGTCATACGCTCTTGTAAGGGTGAATGGAGAAACAACACAAGAACTCAAATTACACAGAGCTAGTGCCCAGCAAATCATGTACCTCATTCTGTTGTTGATCTCCTATGACAAGGATGTGGAGTTTGGCACAGCTGATAAAACTGCAAATAACAAGAAAACTCAAATAGTTGTTTCCAGTATATCAGAGGACAGACTTGACTATCTGTACCACAAGCACAAAGTGCAAAACAACAGATCACAACACCTGTAACACCAACTCTGCAATGGACCAAGACCTGCCCAACGATAGTGTAGAATAGTGCAAATACACACATTTTTCTTCCTAACACAGTATGGAAATATCAGCATCCATCAATCTCTCTTCACTAGGGAAAATGTCTGCAACTACCAATTCCTGTTCATATCATACTGCACAAATTTCAGCATCCACAGATTTATCTTCATAATGTACTATAGAATTAGCAGGTACTGTGAGCTAAGCCTGCTGCCTTTGTTTTCAATTGATAACGTGAGTGAAAGATAAGATATAGATAAAAGAAACTAGTCTGTATGTCTTCTAAGCATGAAAATGTAGCTCAGCATGCAACTATTGCAAACAGACAGCCAGAGGTGGCTGCAGACAAGGTGATGCTGAAACAAGAATATCACAACACAACACATGGCTAAGGAAGCTAAAAGAAGGAAAAACCCAGGAAGCTTAATTAAAAGAAAGGGAATAGACACAAAATATACATCACAATGTTGCAGTTTTATTATTCTTGTTTTGGTCGCTGATATCATTTTTGGATGAAATGTTTAGTTATATCTGTATGCTTGACAGCTTTCCCTGATCTGAACTTTCAAGCCATGCTTTATTATGTTGATATAACAAATGAAAGCCACTGGAAATTGGGCATTCTCATGCATGCTCAATCCTCCAATGCAGCAGCCATCCTGAGGTAACCACTAATGGCTGTTCTCATATGAAGTTGGTTATAAAGACCTCAAAGACTGCACAAACATGCATCACCAAGCCTAAATCCCAGGTTCTCTAGTCAGCTTAGCATCAGAGACTGTCACAATCTACCAGTCTAGTCTGTACAGTACTGACTACATATTATGTGTTGTATTAATTTAGTTCTCTGACAGAACAATTTTCCTCTCCTAAAAACCTGCACTATCATATGTCATGAGTGGTCACATCAATGAGATTTACACGTACAGTGGCACAGACTGATACAGTCACAGCCTCGGAATGCTTCCAATGAAGCTCCCTGTATTCAGGACCCATGAGGTAGCTCCATGACCCCTACGGGGGGAAACACAAGAACCTGAAAATGACTCGCATGATACTCAACCACATAACCTGATACGGATTAATCTGAAGGCACTAAAATGACATTCAATCACAGTAGGTCTTAGATGACCTACACAACTTTCTTTGTCAAAAGTACTAGATTCTTTAAACACCACCAGTTTAGCACTGAAACAAATACACACTAGAAATGGCTAACATCATAAAGTATTTGCATGTGGTAAAACAGTATCCATGCATTTCTGAGCCTCGGCAGATAATTCCCGGGCTTCTTTTGTCAATTTATCAATGACAAACTCCATTGCTTGCCTCCCCTGAAAATAAAACAAGCAAAGAACAGTTGACGCTAATGCCTTGCCATTAATCTTATCAAGTTTCAGAATGATACACAATCAATATGAATAGGACCCCTAGCATTAAGACAGACTATATATATATATATATATATATATATATATATATATATATATATATATATATATATATATATATATATATATATATACACACACACACAAGATAACTAACTGCCTTTATCTTTTTCTTTTTATCTTACTCCTGTTACCTTACCATAGTGTTTAGGGTGGGTGGGGAGATGTCATGATTATATGTATGTGTTTTTTTTATAAGCTGGTTTTCATTTCTTTAAGACTGTTCTCGATACCATTGTTCCAACTTTTGTACAGTCACCCCCCTCGCTCTGTGTTTACTGTATTTCTTCAGCATAGCTCCAATCTCCTGCTGTGTATGTCTTTAAGTGTTTTTAGGCTAGAAACATCCATTCTGTTTGATATAACAATGGGTGGTTCCAATCTTCATCTGAGACTGTCTCAAAGTGGTCGGTAGTACATAACCCGCCTTGATCTTCTGTAGCATGGTCATCAAGTCGCTGAGCAAACACGCACTGGTAAATTCTCGAGTTGTCAGGGCCTTTGTCACAGCCCCGGTTTCCATCGTCATGCTGCTGGTAATAGAAGCTAAGGCTCCACTGTCTGCCTCGATGACTTTTGCTTAAGTTCTTGATGTGAAAGCCCATGCACTTCGATTTTAAAGAATCACAAAATCATCTGCAAATATAACAGCATCTTCTAACGATGTATGCTCCTCGACCAATGCCTTCACTTCTGTTTCAACTATTAGTGGTGACAGATAGCAGAACTATCTCTACATCTATAAGTGCCAATATACATGTCAATTTGTTTATTATGCATTTTAATTGGCCTCAGGGTTCCTAAGTGATCTATTTCTGTAACTACACACAAATATAAATCATACAAAAAACATTTAAAAAGTGCATACACAAGCGATCTTACTGGGAGCAGATCATCAGGCAGACCAATATGATGGTGGAGAGATAATATTCAGGCAGACCTACAGACGACTCAGTCACCAATTGGAAAGGAAAGGTCCATCACAGAGATGATAGAGATGGATGATATCTACAGCTTGAACATCAATGGATCTGTAAGCTGGAGAAGAAATCCCATCCTACCTTGGAAGCATTGTTGGTCATGGCATCAGTCATCATCTGCTCCAGCTTATTGCACAGAGGTAAACCAGAGACTGTGACTGTGGCTTCCTGCTTTAGAAGTGTTCTGTGGAACAACAATGACAGCTCATTTGATCTTTGTTACTCATGACTGACCTAAATTTAAACCACCATCTATTTATCAGCCAATAACAAATAGCATATTGTAGTCTTCTATACAGATTGCCAGTTTGTCTTTCAACACAACCATTTCTGAAAATTTTTCCACACATTATATACTATTATCTACTATATACACAGTCCAGCCATTAAATAATGACTGGTTTTGTTAAGGACCAAACCCCTATCCATGAAGAAAAACAATTCACCCAAACCAACAACATTATACTATGACGTGACATAAATGTAACATTGACCAGTCAACAGACACGTAACCTGCCATTTTGTTTAGCAAATGAGAGTTACATATACAACATCAAGCAAAAAATGAATATTTATACTTTGAATCAGGGAAAGTGCTCCTGAGACAGCTGAATTGATGAGACAAGTTTGTAATGATGAATTATTACCAAATTCAACACCAAATTCTTTTGTCATTGTCCTCACAGTCAGACATCAATCTCTTGTGTATCCGTTTTGACTTTGGCAATTAGTTTATCATTACAAACAGACATCTGACCTCCCAGCCTAGCTTCATCTTTAATCTTTTCCACATCAGTTTTGAATGTGAATACCACTTGAATATGTGTACGAGATAAACACTGACCTACATAAACATGTCTCATCAATTCAACTGTGTCTACAGCATTTTTTCTTCAGAGTTTTAAACATAATCTAATGTTTGCTCTTTGCTGCATTCTGCAAATAAACCAAAGCAATTCTCACTACTGAACAAAATGGTGGGTTATTTGTCATCTGTTGACTAGGCAGCACTGAAATTTGGTAAAATTGTGGACGAATGATGCCTGTTTAAATGTCATGCTTTGCTTCAAGGACAGCATTTTTGTGTGTGTCTCACTATTTAATGGTAGGACTGTAGAATGCCAGTTTGCAGCCATTCTCAAGATTTTCAACATAACTTTACATAAACTGCACCTTTCAAATATGTAAAGAGCATCTCACAGAAGCTGCCATTGACCAGTAACTTCTGATGGTTGCACACATGCGTCAATGACAGCTTTACTGTTGGGAAATATCTGCACCCAAAACAACAATATCAGTATGGTGACTGATTATAACCAGGTGTTAACAGCTGAGACGATATTATTTACACAAAGATTCTGTGTTTTTAAAGAAAACATAATACACTAACATGGACAAAAAAGAAAGAATTTAAAAAAAAAAAACATACACTTAAACATGCTAAAACGCTCACAGAAAATTTAAAAGAAAAACCAACCACTCTTGAAAACTTTACATTTCTGTTCTCACGAATCAACTTACTTGTTTGGGTCAGTAGGATGTTGACAATATGTAACATGTTCATCAACTGTGACTATGTTTGACAAGGTTACCTGTTGAAAGTCACATATAAGACTGTAAAATGATATTCACAGACAAGGACCGCTGCCTTCAAAAACTAATAAAGTAAAAGATCTTTCTCCACATTTTCAGGTGTATTGGATATATAGAGCTAGACTAATATTTTATAGACCAAGCTGCACTTGGTGGGTGATGTGCACAGCATTATACCAGCCTTTACTTCCCATGACTGTAACTGGTACCCACTTAAGGTTGGGTTGACCTGAGAGCCAAGGTCATAAAAAAGAAAAATGTTCGGTTTCCGTCGGGGCCCGAAACCACGACCTTCTGATCCACAATCAAGGGTCTAGCCACTCCCTTCAAATACTAAATACACATATAATTTACGTGAAGGCAATCAAAACAACAAGAAGGACTTAGTATCTTGGTCCAGGCTGGGGGCATGGGAGCTCAGCGTGCAGCAGCCAGACACGAACAGTTCCCTTACGGCACAGGATGTCTGATTAATTATCATGGAATGAATATGATCAGTCATTTTACACTTGTGGAGTTAGTGAAGAGGAGATCAAAGCACTTATGGATCTGCCTGGAGTGCAATGGTGATAACCTCATTAATCCCATATGAAATGAGGATACAGAACTCAAAAAAACATTCTACCTAAGTTTGTATAAAAAATGAAGCTATATTACAACTGATAATATTTATTTGCAAACAAAACAGTCAATATAAATGTGATTGTATAGGCGAATACTCTAGTTCAGACATGTAACCATTTTGAATATGTTTATCCTATTATGTATATAAAGGCCATAACAAAAAAACTCATGCATGCTACATAAAACCAGTTCTAATATAAAGTTATGAATCATTAACAATTAGCAAACCAGTTAAAAAATAAACTGAAACTTCAGAGATGTGGCTTTATGAAAGAATGCTTACAATACATTGGATAGCCAATATGACACTAATGTAAATATTTGTGAAAGAGTGAGTTAAAAGTGGTTAACAACTGAAGAGAACTCATTATTAATCAGAAAGAGGCAGTCATCATTTTTAGGTCAGGTTATTAAAAAAAAAAACACTAGAGGTTTGGAAAGAAAACTGACAACAACAGTATCTTCTTGGCAACCATTTGCCATGGTAAAAGTATCAGCAGATAAACGAATGAATACATGCAGCTGGAGAATTCAAGTTGTTGTAAAGCATGAGTGCTCACACTATTTGGTGAGACACTTGACGATGATAAATTAGGATCTTTTGAAGATATTAACCAAAAAAAAATTGGCACATAAACAGCACCGTGTTTCAGAAAGAAATACTTCGACCACGTTATCAACTGCTTTGGTTTGGAAAGAACAGTAATAAAATGCAGTGCCTAGAAGAAGAAGCAGCAGGGGTAAAACAGCATGAAAGTGGACAGAGAAAAATACCTGAGGACTAACAGTCATTCAGCCGTGCTCTGACTGTTTTGCAAAAGCAGCTTCAAATGATAATGACAGTATGATTTAAGAACGTTATAACACTAGAATTGCCTATGATTAATCTAGGATGTTTTCTAGGCTGGTGCACCTATCATATATTACTGTTATACTTTAAATGAAAGGTAAAGTTTAAAAGCCACGTTGACCATCTGACATATAGTGCAAATCACATTTTTACATCCCCGTGTGGGTCAGTAGTCCCACTTTAGGGGAACAAAGTACAGATCCACTATAGTCCTCTCACCAGTTTAAATTTTTTTAAAGATCTTTAAGAGTGGCTTTGCCTCTCTTTAAAGAAAATAAATAGTAAAACAGAGAATACAAACTTACATTTCTAGTTCTGAGTGTAAAGGTTTTGTTCTCTGGGTCAACAGTGGACAGTTCACTAGCATAACACATGTCCTGCATTCCAATCATCTGTAAACATTATAAAACAAATATTCCACAATAAGAAATGTTAACAAATTTAAGTGAGAAAAATTGTGGAGACATAAACAAGTTAGTTGCGTATCCTTTACAGGACGTTGCAGAACCAACCCTAACAGCCCCTGGCTGTTGTGTGGTCTCTCTAGGCAAATTTACGTCCAGTAGTTTGCCATTGCTTTCTGGACGGTCGGCTTTCCTGATACCACTGTCGAAACCAATGCAAGGCGCATTGCCCGCTGCTGGGATCGAACCAGGCATCCCGGCATTACGACCCGAAGCGTTCCCATCGACTTAGCCACAGAGCCGACTATGGAGACATACAAACTAAGAAATACAGCTAGAAATACAAGTAGATCATTATGTCAGGAATGCATGTGAATATTCGTGAATAGGTGAGAGTTCATATGAATATTCATGAGCTGGTTGACACAGGTTAGAGCAAATACCCATGTCACATGAAGTGTGTGAAGTTTTGCTTGAGCAGAAGAACTGCAGACACCACAGATGTGAGTGGAAAGGTGTTTTCCACATGCGAGGAAAGGATCACATGAACACAGTGCAAAACAGCTGCAGTTACTTTTAACCATTAGATTTTAGTCTGCCGGAGTGTAATGTACGTGTGATGTGATAGTCACTTTCAATTTCTCATGTGGCAGTTATGTGAAGTCTGTTGAAGTTTTGCTGACACGATCAGATATCAATCAGTAATGAAGGCTGCCATGGACTTGCTGACAAATCATGAACAAGCAGGATGGATAGGTAGTTGATACAGAATTCAGGAAGGCTACTACTCATTTACCATTATGACTACAATGTTTATTTTACCAGTCAAATCGGTGGCTGCTGTGCATTTCTTTCTTTATTGTGACAATCAGTAAAAGTAAACTTTTGTTGCTGGAGTTATATTGCTTTGAATATTTTTCATATTACTTCTCTTGAAAAGGTAATTTAAAAAAATTATATTTCGCCGTTATCTTCCTTGAAACCACATATCTATGTGTCTGAGACAGTATATTTGTCCGTCTCCTAAATTGTTAAATACTGATTTACAGGGGATGCCTCGGGTGCACTTAGGGGCAATGACTAAAGATACGGCAGCAGTGGAGACAAGATAAGGCTGCAATGGAGACAAAGATGAAGTAGAAGACAGGATAGTAAATACAGGGTTTTAGTTAGACCCCTATTTCCACTAGGCCTACGTACAGGGCAGTGGTGGAGACCAAGATGAGACAGAGGAAGGGAAAATAAGACTTTCTTTCACTATTCCATGTGAAGCTGAGCAACTGAATTCTAGTTTATTTGATAAAATACAGTTTTTGTTTGTTCTATTCTGTTATCTGTCTCTATGATACATTTTTCATCTGACATTATCCATATGCCTAGACACTTGAACTTCTGTACTTGCCTCAAATATTACCAATGCCAGTTGTACACTAAGGAAGTATCTGCTTCTTTCAGCTCAGGTAAGGCATGTTCCAAACTAGGCTTTATTTTTAATGTGGATGGATTTTTCCATAAGCAGCTGACTTCATGGAAAAAGCATAGTAACTTAGTTTTCCATGGAGCTGTAACGCTGTTGTACGCTGATGAAGGCTTTCTAGCAGCAAGTCTTTATGTCATTTGTGATTATGATTTACTGGGAAGCTTATCAGTTCTGCTTCCTGGGTTTCTTCTTCTTTGCGTTCAGTTTCGTATGATCAGATCAGACCATCAGGTGGGTTGCTTCTTGCATGTCAGTAGCAGGTCCTTCTCTATAGCTTGATCTGCATACTTTACTCTTGAAGTCAGGTTTCTTTTTGAAGTTGTAGGTAGTGTGGGCAGGTCTGAAGAATGTGCTCAGGTGCTTGTGGTCCTGTCTGCTAGGCACACTGTGCGGACTGTAGTCTTTATTTTACGGACGTGGTAGTTAAGCCTGCAGCGTCCTGTTCCTAGATGGAAAATTGTTAAATATTGCTTTCTGTTGAGTCTGCTAATGGGGTCTTGTGGATGTTTACTGTCTGTTCTCTCCACAATGTCCTGTATTCTCCCTTGATGAGAGTTTTTATTTTTGGTAATGACAATGAATGGGTGTGTTGTTTCTCCTATGTCCCATTTTTTGCAGGTCTGTCTGCTAACTTATTTCCTGGGATGTCGCAGAGAGCAGGGATCTACTGGAGATTGTTTTCTGAGAGTCTATTTAGCTGGCGGGTCAGTTCTCTTCCCCCTGTTGATTCGTGGATCCCTCTGAGTCGCCTGGAGGATTGATATGCAGTCACAAAGGAAAACAATTTTGCTGTTTTTTCAATTTTTCTTTCCTCAAGCACTTTGGTTGCATCAATAATTGCTTGCTGCTCTGCTCTGAAGTTTGCTGAGAGTCTTCCGGAGGCACATGACGATTCTACCATGGTCCCATCTTGCAGCATGATGACCGACCCAGCTCCTCCATTTTTTTTCTGCTTTATCCAATGAATCCATTTGGGTTTTGCGTAAGAGTTGTAAACATGTTTAAAGGTCTTTGCATGCAGTACTAGGTCACATTTTCCAGCATTTCTGTCTATTTTTGGGACCACTTTTGTGACTGTATAGTTAGACTGTAGGTCTATGCTGTACACCTGGATCATTTCCCACATTGACGGGTCTTTGGAAAAGGATGTCACAGTTTTTTGTGTAGTAAAATTTTGATAGATGGTGAAAGCTTCGTCTTTTCAGTCAATGTTTTGTAAAGTTGTTTGCTATTCTGAGCATGGAGTTGTTGTTCCTACGTTTAAATTTGTATGTTAGGGTAAGCACCTTTCCTTACCTTCGATGGCTTAAGCTCTGGAGGCCAGAAGTTGCCTCGAGTTCACTGATTGGTGTGCTTCTTAAACCTCCAGTGATGATTCTGAGATCAGTGCTCTGTATTTTATCCAGTTTGTACATATCTGATCTGGCTGCAGTGAAGTATGCTCCCATGGCATACTCCAGTTTTGGTAGTACATATCCTGTGTATACTTGTCGTACAGTGATGGCATCTGCACCCCAGCTTGTTCCAGTAAGTTTCTTCTAGGTACAGATCAACAAGTTCTGGCTTTGTGGAAAGACAGAAGAGTCGAGGCAGTTTTGGTTTGGTTTATTGTGACTCCCTAAGAGTCTGACCATTTCTCAACTGTATTTATAGCTTCCCGCATTCTTGTTTTAGTTCTTCCTATATATTCAGCTTGTGTCCATATGGCCAGGTCATCTGCATGTAGGGCCTTGTGAATGTGAGTTGTGAATTGTTTTGGGAGGTCACTGATAAAAAAAATTAACAGGGTGGGAGATATAACCCCCCACCCCCCTCAACCCCTGTAAAGAAAGTCTCTAATCCAAGCAAACATATGCTCTTGCATCCGACTTTGTGTTAGTTTTAGCAAGAGTCCTTTCTTCCAAACCTTGCGAAAAGGTGAAAAGCTTTAGTTAGGTTTAAGAAAGTAGCCAGCAGTTTGTAATTTTTTTCTGGAAAGCATCTTCAATTTCCTGTGCGAGATGAGAGGTTTGGTCATCAGTGCTTCTGTATTTCATAAAGCCTAATTGGCTGTCATCCAATATCTTGTTTTCTTCCAAGAAATTAAGTAACCTGCTGTTCACTAATCTTTCTATGGTTTTTCTAAGGAGGCTTACGAGGATTATGGGGTGGTAACTGAATTTGTTTTCCAGTCTTGGATATGAGGACTATTTCTGTCTCCTTCCATTCCTTAGGAAGTATTCCCTGGGCCCAGGATTGGTTTATAAGGTCTAAGAGTCGTTGCCTACCAGCTGGTCCCAAGTGTACTATCATTTCATTTGTTATTTGATCAGGTCCAGGTGCCTTCCTTTTCTTAAGATTTCTTAATGCCCAGTCACCATCTTGGGGACTAAAGAGTTAATTCATCGTATCTTGGTTATTTTCTTGCTTTTTTTGGTTTTCCTCAGTTCTCTCATCACTTCTTATTCTCTTGGTCTAGAAATGAATATTTTTCTTTCCTCTGCAAGACTATTGGTTAGCAGGTTTGCTGCTTGTTTACCAGTTAAAGTTTTTTTAAACCATCTTCAATGACAGTGTTGACATAGCTGGTATGATTAAATGACAGTGTTGACACAGCTGGTATGATTCAATCACAGTGTTGACACAGCCGGTACGATTCAATGACAGTGTTGACACAGCTGATATGATTCAATGACAGTGTTGACACAGCTGGTATGATTCAATGACAGTGCTGACACAGCTGGTATGATTCAATGACAGTGTTGACACAGCTGGTATGATTCTCATTCAGACTCTCTTTACTAGATGCCATAGCATTTTACCATCTTTCTCCCTGTGGAGAGCCCCAGAGCTGCAGTCTTTTCCTGAAGCATGAGTTTTTCTCTTTTACAAATAGCCTGATGTTAAGCTGAGGTCAGAGGGATTTTGTTTCATTTGTACTCTATCTTCTGTGCTTCTTTAGTGCAGCTGTTGCAGTTCTTGGGTCCAGAAGGATTCACAGTTCTGCCTTCGTCCTCGGGTGATTGATTTTTGTGCTGCTTCGAGTATGATACTGGTAACAGTTGTGATTGGTTGGAAAGGGCTCTGATGGTTTCTTTTTAGTTAAGTTTCTGTAGAAGTCCCAGTCTGCTTTCTAATAGTTCCAGCTGGCTATCTTCTTCCTGTTTTCTGGTGGCTTGAACTCTCCTATCATGACGACTGGTTTGTGATCACTTCCTCACAGCTATTTCATAACTTCTCTCGTCTGCCTGTCATTGGATGTTTTCTGTAGCTATAGCTAGCTCTGGTGTACTTTCTACCATATATTCCTCTACCTCTTCTCCTCGTGTCCATGGAAGCATAGCTTCAACTAGGGGAATGACTGATGAAGTCCCTGAGAATTAGGTAGCTCTTATCAGCTACTGGGATGTCCTCTAGTTCCAGTTTCTTGTTGTTGGGACAGTAAAAGTTAGTAACATATTGTGGCTCTGGGAGGATATGTAGTTTTACTGTCAGATGTTCAGACTCACTGAAGCTTCTGGAAGTTTCTGTAGCTGCAATAGTATTTTTAACTAATGTGCTCCCTGGGTTTGATTTTACCTTTACTTCTGTCTTAAGTTTTATAATATTGAACTCTTTCAGTATCAGGCAGGTATCCCTTACCTCGTCGATTCCTAAGTATTTATTACCTAGAGTAACAGTTGCCAAGATATAGGAGTTCAATTATTCACAATAAGGTGCCCAAAGAGTTAAAGTAACATTTTGGTTACAACAGGTTATTAAAACATTTTGGTTACCACAGGTTACTTGGGGAGCAAAGAGTTTAGAAAAGACGTTTCACATATGGAGTAATCAATAAAGGTATGGTGAGTTGGTTGGGACTGAATGAGTTAAGGGCTATTTCTTCCCTTTCAATTACTGCCTCCATTATTTTCTGCATGTTTCTGACTTGCTATTGAGGCAGCAGTCAATGTTCTTCTGTATTCACTTGTAAGAGGGCAGCTGGCCCACTGTTTTGTGTTTTGCAGCTAGACTGCAATATCTGTCTGTGCCTTTTAGCCAAACACATCTGATTTCAGCAAACTCCTAAACAGCTGCCTTCTACAACATGCTTGTCAGTTGGTCGCACAGAACAATTATGTATAGTCAGACCAGCAACTATGATCCTTGGTGTAACTTGTACAGATCTCCTTTTTTGTTCACTGCAGATTGGACAGGACCAACCATATATAAATAATTTGCAAAACCATTAACTCTTTCGCCTTAAGATAGATATTAACTCTATCGATTTAAGAAAGTCGTTTTCTGGATTTTATGAGTTTTGGTTGACATGTCTTTGGGTAGTGCCCAGTATGCCTGTATGATAACTTTGGTCCTGACTCTGCATAGTCTATAGATATTGTGCGTTTTATTCGGAGTAAAGATTTTTTTTTTTAAAATTGGTGACTCACTTTGACAAATCAGTTAATTCTTCACTTCTTTGTATCTAATGATTACTTCCCTATATTTGAATAGAAAAAAAAACATCTTTTCGATAAAAAAAAACCTGGTCGTTTAGTTTCTTGAAAAACACTTTTTGTTTGCAGATATTTTTTTTTTGACATGACATCACCAAAGAAGCTGAGGTCTTCAACAAGCCTGTCTTCTCAGTAGTCTATGGGTTCAAATCCCTATATGTTAAAAAAAAAAAGAAATGATCAAGACTATGTTTGTAGAGTAGAGTTTTATTAAATTATAAAAGCAATGTTTTTTCAAGATTCAAAGGAGTTAAATAACTACAACAACACAGGAGTACTGAGTATTAGTAGGTGTAGTACCAGTAAAGTTTCATCATCTCTACAAATGGGTCACTACATAAATGCTTGTTGTGTCAGCAAAAATTACACAAAATGCCCTTCTCTGCTCCACTTAAAAACTAGTGAACCAACAATTAGTAAAGACAAAACCCAGAAACATACACACACAGTAAATGCATGAGGTGCTAACAACAACAACCACCACCAATGCAAGTTGTCAGTCATGACTAGTTGTCCGTATACATGCAATATATGCACAAGGCACCTAGCCAGTCTGAATGCAAATCAGCAACCAGAGTACTGAGCACTGTGATGTAACAGAATGTAAATCAGAATAAGAGGACCTGAGAATATGTAAATACTTCAATAATTACCTTTCTCACCCATGATGGGAAACCCCAGGAAGTACTTAACAGTCGGTGAGACTTCAACTTTCCCTCCGAGTCAACCCGGCGATCAAGCACATCGAGGCCTAGCACGGAAGGATTGTGAGGGTTTGGATATTTTCTCCATGCGGCCGTCACAACCGTGTCCCAACTGTGGCTGTAGTAACACAATAGGTATGTAAAAGCTTGCATTTTTTTTAAAACAAGAAATTTAAACTGTGTGAACATGTCACCACAAAAATGTGATGTATTTATGGGCAGTAAAAGAACTAGTTTTACAGAAGCGTGCATAAATGGAATAGCCAACTATGAACATCACAGTAAATGGAGGAGAACTAGAACAAGTAACAAACAATTTGATATCAGATGAAGCAGAAGTTAAACAGAAGAAGAAAACAGTCAAAAAATATTAGCATCTAGAGAGACTAACACATTTAAAATGAGAATGTTATGTAGTTGACTCTACATGATGCAGAAATCTAGATAAAAAAAATGCAATCATAAAGTCAAACATGACTGTAACATTAACATTATAACAGGTAATATGAATTTCAGTTATTAATTACTGTTTTTAAGCCTCACAGTTAGTTGAGACTATAATATTAGTTTAGAGAATATTTGTGAGGTAAAGTTTGTGAAAAAAGTAATAAAGTTAATGCATAATTCCAAGAAACCACAAATTACAATGTGCTTTATATACAGCAGAGGAATTTAAACATACAGGTAAATCATTTTCAGCACACAAAGTTCATGGGGGTTATTAGCAAAAGCTAAACGACATTGCTTGGTGCAACAAAGCCTGGTATCTGTCACCACAACAACTAGTTTAAGAATGGAGGTGGAGGCAGTCACTGCAGCCTTCCACTGGCTTGAGAATCAGTTATGCACACATGTGCAATTGAAACTGACTCACAGAGCATGCTGAGAAAGGTGGAGACAGGCATGCTCCATGAACAGCAACAAACATCACTTCAGAGGTCTCAGGTAGTTAGCGTCCTTTGGATATTTTTTCCAGGGTATGCTGGTGTATTTGGAAATGTACAGGTAGATTGACTGGCTGGTTTTGCACAACATAGTGGTGAGTTGATGCATGACAAGATAGATGTTGCAAAAGGCCTTTTAGGGGAAAGTGAACAGTGCGGAGGCATAGATGGATCATCAGTCTGAGGAGAATGGTGCAACAAGAAGTGACCAGGGGATCTGGCTGACAATCAACACTCAGGGGAAAGGTGAGACGGATATACAATCAGACTGTTACTAGTACCATCGTAATTTGAACTCTGCCCTTGCTGCTGAAGATTGGGACAAGGTGCTTACAGGAATGTTTCAACTTCTACGATGTTGATACTTAATTACACATTTCAGCATCTATGATTTATAGTGACATCTAGCGGAAGACGCGACAAAGATAAAAGATAAAATTTGCTACTGCAAAACCCTGTTAACATAAACACACCCAAGAACACTCAGTTAACATGGACACCCTTTTGGTCCCAGCAGGAATGCATTATTATTAGCTCCCAGTTAGCACAAATTCTTTAATACAAACCTGAATGCTTCTTGGAATTTGTGTTTATAGGGTTTTACTGTTTATCTAAAGATTTGTTTAGCTGTATGAGCAATGACATGAAATAGAGAAATATCTCAAGCACACACAATCAGCTTATGGAAACCTGTCCCATTAAATCTGCATGAATGTGAAGCTTTCAGAATAATGTTAAGAAAAGCATGGACCTGGAAGAAAACAAATGCTGAATCGCTAGAGTAGTGTTACATGTGTCAGAAGATATCACTCGACAAATACAATTTACTTTATGGGGTCTATCAATAGAAAAGGTGGAATCTCTAGAGAAATTTGGATTATATTGGAAAATATTTGGTAAGAGAGGTAGGGACAGAGAGACAGAAAGATTTGGGTGAGGCATCTGAAATGGCCACACATAATAATATAGGTAGCAGGACCAACTTCATCAAAATGGCAGACACAATTACTGTGTCTACCCAGGACAGAATTAAAAAAAATTGTAGTAGTATAAATGTGCGTTTTTCTTATTATTTTCATCCTCTAAGATCTGTACTGTGAAGTGTTGGCACTGTAGTAGGGGGTTGGGGTGGGGGAATTATCTGTGTGCTTTCTAATGCCATGAATAAGTATTTTGTGTAAGATTGTTCTTGATGCTATCATTCCAGTACATGACTGTTCCTCCTCATCTTCTTTTCTTCTATCGCTTTGTGTGTCAATGGAGCCATTTAAAGTTCTGCTTCTTGTCTTGCACTCTGTATGAGGTCCCTTTAGTCAATATTTTATTAGCCTTACTACTGTTACTCTAGAAACTTGGGTCAACATGCACATATTAATTTAATTTAAATTATCTATCCTCTCCAAGAAATAAATAACTGACTGTATTGTAAATGTAATCAGTAAAAGAAAAATTAATAATTTTAATACCAATCAGTCCAATCAATGAGATTTTATCACTTACTAAACTTACTTCACTCAACTTTAACTAGTAAAACAGAAAATTAATTTATTATATAATTATAGTGTCTTACTTTATATTTTTAATATAATAAAGTAACTTTACAAGTATTATTACTATTACTATTATTATTATGTAATTTGTTATGTAATTTTAAACAAATAATTATTCATAATAATTTTGTTTCACAAGTAGTATTTTGACAGTGACAGCGCAATGGCACAATACAAAAGGTCGACTAAAAATTCTTTTTTATTATATTAATATCATGTCACTGTATCGGGAAGAGCTGCATTAAAGTCTAAAGTGCAAATATAATCACACCCTAGTGTCAAGAGTAAACTCGTCTCAAGTGTCGTCTCTACAACAGTGTAGTGTATGTAGGCTATGTCACTGCCAGTGTCTTCTTGCCACTGACAACTCAAACTGACTTTTCTCTCTCCTTTTCATTTTCTTACTTGAACGTATGCTCTGAGTTCCAGATGCGCATCCTTTCACTGAGAAATTACAACAGTACAGCTAATCCAGACGTGCTCTTCCAAAAACTTGTCAGATTTGAGGTTTATCCAGCCAGAAATAAAATAAATGTTGTTGAGATTTCTCCAAAGGACACACACGAACGGAGCAGCCGAGTTGAGCCGGAAGGGTAGAGACGGGGTTGAAGGTCAACAGGTCGGCCAGGTTTTACCGACTAAATCAACCAGAACGAAATTTAATTTAAGGACTACAAGCTACTTTGTGTATCTTGTATGAATTCATTAGCCCTAAATTTGGGTTCCAAAAAAAAAAAAAAAAGAAAAAAGTTTACCCACTGCTTCATTACAAAAGTAATGTTGTAAAAGGTGACTAAATAGGCTGAATAGCCGAAAAGCGCAGATATCGCAGCCTAACTGTAAACCGCAACATAACGTGTCACCGCCCGTTCTTTGAAATGCGAACGCAGAAAAAGCAGAAGAAGAAGAAGAAGAAGAAGAAGAAGAAGAAGAAGAAGAAGAAGAAGAAGAAGAAGAAGAAGAAGAAGAAGAAGAAGAAGAAGAAGAAACACAAGTTCTTGTATGTACCTGTTTTCCCTGGGCAGGCACCTAAAGGCTTTCATCATTCCAGACATTTCGCGATCAGGAGTCTTATCCTGGCGGGCAGACCAACTGGGAAAATCCAGAAATCCCAATTGAGCCTCCAATGTGGTTATAACTAGGGCACCCGTAACGGCCACACGGCGACCAGGTGGTCCATAGGCCTAATGGCAACACCAGCCGCGTATAACCTGCAGATGAGCTTCTTGAATAAAAATCATAAACTGCACATTTCATGGCCATCGCACTGGCCATGGGCTCTCAATTCCTTAGCCCACCCCACCCTTTTTTTTTACACCCTTTCTTTATTTTCTATACCACAAAGCGATAAATACAAGCAGTAAGATGGTAATAATATTTGGATGAAATGAAAAATAGTGTCGGACATATGGATGACTGTAGACAAACTGATATCAAGAGTAAAAGCAAAATACAAATGTAAAGTATGTAAAGTTTGACTAGAAGCCCAATAAAAGGAAAAGTAACTGCGAGTACATGTATAGAATAAACAGCATCGACCAGTCTTTATCAACAAAAAACAAAAATAGTTTTTTTTTTTTAAATCATCTCTCAAGTTGAAAAAAAAACAAAAAATGACGGGGAACGTTTGAACTAGTAGCCACTGCATGAAAGAAATGAATGATATTGATTAGCATTGCAAGGTTTCATTATTTGGAGGGGAACATGTTCCAATTCTGATGAGCCTGTTATAGTAGTATTAGCAGTAGTAGTAGTAGTAGTAGTAGTAGTAGTAGTAGTAGTAGTAGTAGTAGTAGTAGTAGTAGTAGTAGTAGTAGTAGTAGTAGTAGTAGTAGTAGTAGTAGTAGTAGTAGTAGTAGTAGTAGTAGTAGTAGTAGTAGTAGTAATAGCAGCAACAGCAGTAGTAGTAGTATAGGTAGCAGAAGTAGCAAAGGTAGTAATAACAGCAGCAGTAGTAGAATTGGTAGTAGAAGCAGCAGAAGTTGTAATAATAGTAGCAGTAGCAGTAGTAGTAGTATTGGTAGTAGAAGTAGGAAACGTAGTAATAGCAGCAGGAGCAGTAGCAGTCTACAGCTGCATAAAAAAGAAGCCTATTGTATTAAATTAATTTTAATGCCAAATAAAAACAGTTGGACAAATTATAAGGACACATGTATTATGGACGCAACCGAATAGTACCGATCTTTTTGTTGTAAACGTGTAACTAAATATTATTATCGTTTAAAACCTCTGTTTTGTTAATCAATTTTGTGAAATGAAAACATTTTGTTTATACAATTTCCGCGAAGTCCATCTTGGCATACGTAGAGCGAAGGAAAATTTTCACGTTGAGCTATGACGCAATTGTACCTTGTCCCAAAGACCTAGATAATCTTTCACACTAAAAATAATCTTTACATATTTACTGAAGATTAGTTGACGTGAATCACTGTACCTTTTTTTTTTTTTTTTAGTTAAGAGATCAAGCAAGATAACCTGTGACAAATTATATATATTGTGCTATAGGCCTAATATGTCAAACAGGGATCGCAGTCTATGCCTCCATTTCGTTCTAACGGATGGAGTACAGTCAAGCACCAATGGCTTCTCTCATCAGTGTTCGTTGTAGGGTTTATTTTGGGCGCCCTAGCCTTTCTCGGTTCCTATTATTTCCTATTTTAATGCCTGTCTGGTGATTCTCTACTGGCTTCTTCCCAGGACTGCCCAGTGTAGTACCATCTTCTCTGTCTTATAACTGTGGATAGTAGTGGTTGCTTGGATATTTCTCTTACTTCTGTACCCCTTTTTGAATTCATCGCATTTTTTAAAAATTATTTTAATCAGGCATTTATGTGTTTGTGTACATTGATAGGCGTAAATATACATTACCCGAATAGAAAAGCAACTATATTCCAGTAATAACATATTTTGGTTGACCGGGATAATATTGTTTAAACAACAGCAGCAGCAGTAGCCACAACAGCAAGAAAATCATCAACTGGGACACATTGTGTTGCCCTTCTGTTCAATCAACACTTCAAGTGGGGACTGAGCTGTCTCGAGGTATATGTCCGCCTCGAGTGCTGGAGGTCACAGGTTCGAGCCCCGCTGAAGTCAGGATTTTTTCACATGGAATTCTAGTAATTTCCCCTGGTCTCCGTGTAGTAAGATCGGACGCACGTGTGTATTCTTGCGCAAGTAAAAGAATCCCTTGGCAGTTGGAAATCGGAAAGCCTAACGGCTCTTCCACGGCAAAATCTGGAGTTAAAAGTCTACCCAAAGTATTTCAGGATCCTCGCCGGTGCAACGGAGTTAGTGCACTGCGCTGAGATTCTTGAGACTCGGTTTTGAGTAAGAAGTAGAACGGAGAACTTATGGGTTACACCCGTGTGACACGATGATGATCCGTAAAATAAACAATAAACATAAACACGTCAAGTATGAGAATCAGAAAGCTACAAATCCAGGAAATTCCGTGTAATCGTAGCCATTTAGCACAGTTATACTGGGTCACTATATATGTTGTGTGCAATATATGGGAAGGGAAGTTCATTGTT